ATGTAGAATCAGAATATGATATAAAACTATCATGTGTTCTAAGATCAGAATTTAAATGGGGAAAATATACACGATTGTTTTCATATTCACCGACAGTTAGACATCTAACACAAGAATTTTTAGCTGTATGACCTTTCACATTTAATATAAATGACTTGGCAGGAGTATCACAAATCAAAGCTTCAAGTAGTATCTTCACATGTTTATTATTATACATTGCCCCAACATTTATAAGTTCATTTAGTTCATTCACAAAATCCTCTAAAAACTCATTACAATCGTCTGGTTTGGGTTTACCATGATAAGCACCAATAATAAAAATATTATGGTTTTTAATTGGTAAATTAGAAAAATACCCAAGTATTGGCCACATTTGGCTTGGTGGATTTTTGGTGACTGGGAGTCCATCTATTCCTACCTTCAATAATAATGTAGTAGGCAAGTTTTGGTAATGTTTAGCTAATAGTTCAATTTCTCTATGAATTCCAAAATGATGATATATACCACCTTTAATATTTTTTATTACTGAAGGAGTGGTTGGTGTTTTCAATAAAGTCCGAGAGTCTTTAGGTAAGTGAGAAAACTGAGTACATTTGGATAATTGTATTAGCAAATCGTCCAAAGCTGAATGAGTAATATTATGGCGTATGGCCCAACTAGCTATTATTAACTCTAATGGTGAATCGGATTTTTTGGCAGTATTGTACAAAGTGTTATCATTTTTATTCAAACATTCAAAATCAGAACTACTAAGTTCATCACAGGAATCATAATCAGTCATATCAGAATTTCCAGAACAATTATTGTAATCTTCTTCGCTACATAAATTAGAAATCATATTATTGTCACAATGTATGTGAGTGGGTGACGATATATTATTTGCAAATGAATTTTGTTGTGTTGAATCGGCCATTATAATATTGCTTTCATCATCCTCACTACTTGATGGAAATAATGTTGCAATACATTGTGCGGCTTTTTTTCTACGACGATATCGAGTTGATTTAGACCTAATAAAATTTTAAAGGTTTCAAAAACTACTTATTACTTCAAGCACCAAAATATAATAAATGTTTTAGGTATTATAACACTTCACAAATACCTAACACAAATTTGAAACAAAATTTGCACTCACAGTAACTAGTATTTTATAATCTACATTAAACATGTTATTTACCTATAGAGGCAGTTAAAAAGCTTGAGTTAATTGTAATTTTAATCATATAATTTGTAATTGAAATGTGTAGTATAAAACAATTATTAAGATCATTAGATCTATATTTAAAATTTATGTTTATTTTATTTAAACAATAATCAACTTATCTAGAAGACCAGAACTATCAATTCACTTCTTATTAAACAAATCAAAAGTTTGAAGTAGGTATTTAGTTAATAATTTTTTTATTTCAGTTTGAATAAAAATTGAATGATTTTTCAAATTATATAATTTTACAGAACTTGACATATCTAACTAGCTTTATTATATTTTTTAGGTTATTATAAAATAGTCTAACCCTTGAATCAAAACTAAATCCATAGTAAATTATTATTATTGCACCTACCTATTCATTTGGTAAATATCAAGTTCAATAATTAAATAATACATCATAATATGAATTTTCTTAGTTTAAATATTTAGTTTACTATATAATAGAATATACCTAACCTAACAGATAAACAAAATAGACAATCATTTTGAAAATTGTAACAAATATCTTTTAAAAAAGTGATATTTTTAATATTAAACTTATTATTTGTTGATATAAATGTGGTTGTACAGTTGAGAAATATAAATATAAATAATAAACCATAATAACTTTTAATTATTTCAACATTGTTAGCAACTTTGTATAGCATTTTGAATACAATTAAATATTAGGTACATAAATATATTATACTTGTGTTGTACATAATAATTAATAATATATTAACAATTATAAGAATTATTATGCCATGAGACAGGTAATATGAAATTATGTTTTATAAAATATATTTAATAAATTAGTAGAACTATATGTTGTAGGTATCATGAATATTCATGATGTTCCAAGTAAAATGCTTAATATTTTGGAATATATTATAATACATTATATAACCATCATTATGTTTAAATTAAAATATAGTGTATGACATATTTAAACTTTCATTACACATGCAATGTTTATATGTATAAGTATAGGTACATATAATGTTGAATTTCTAAATAAGTATACGCAACAAGCAACAATAGTACATAAACTATATAGATTATATTATATGATATTATAATATTATATTAATATAACATAGTATATTTATACTAACAGTGATCAAAAGTTTATAATTATTGTAATAAGTATACTGATATTCATAATATAAGTAAGGTATATACTATATATAGTTAGGTAGGTAACTAATTAAGTGTGTATAATGAAATAACTGACACGGTGTGAATATTTTAATAAAACCTATTATAGCCTATAGATTCTAATCACTTAGCTAACCCTCAAGAAGATTAGTATTTGAAATATAGACCTTGCAGGCCAATTAGCCAAATAATATAATATAATCTGTGGCATGTAACGTAGGATCAGTGTTGCTAAGGGACACCTTAAAATATGTTTTGGTGAGTGTTGATAGAAAGAAAATCGGAAAATTTATCAACAGGTTATATAGACCTAATAATATTATGAGGGATTTTATAGACCTAATAATAATTTGAAGGATAAGTCACCTAAAATTACTTGAGAAACAACAATTTTTTTTTTTAATACACGCCAATGAATACAATATATAATAAGTACCTACCTACTTATAATCAAAGAGTTTGTCTGCACTATTGTAATATTATACTTATTATATAGTAAAATAAAAAATACTTACGATGACATGATTGTGCGACGTGCGTTGTTCCCTGTTCCTTTTTCAATGCTCAATAGTCGCAAAATCGAAAATATACCTAGTTGTAGTTAATTTGTAACTGCAGTGCACGTGCACTTAATACGTAAATAATAGAATAATAATTATTGTTTGATAATCAAAACTCAAAAGAAAGAACAATTTTTTCGTAGATATTTATGAAATGATATTTGATAACAAATACCATCATTGACCAGATAATACGTAATGGATAACAATAATATTAACAAAACTATTTATAGTTTACCGCGTTTTTTGTTTGTTGTTGACGGCCGACGGCCAGTGGCGGTTAACTACCACACGGCTTGTTACGACCACAGATGTATAAAAATACTCGGTATATATTATATACGAGCACAATAAATAATAATATATAATATTCAAAAACTGTTCCAAACGGCTCTTAAACATATTAGCTGAACCGTTTAATTGAAATCGGTGTGTTTGCGCGGTCTCAATACTGCGTTCAGTGTCGGATAAACTGACAATCAACCAAACAATTATTTTCATTAATGTTCAGTTAAAATTTGTACCGAGTCCCTTATACCTAACCGTTATAGTGTTAGAATGGTGTTTAAACATTTATTCTGAACCGTTCAAATTCCATCAGTGGGTTTGTACCTTCTCAGCACCATTCACTGTCGGATACACCGACAATGAACCATACAATTATTTTTACAAAATATTCAGTTAAAATATGTAGCAAAAAACGTATTATAAACCGTAATGTTTCTGCAGCATGGTTCCTAAACTGAGTATGCACAGTTTAAAATGCACAGTTCTCTGGAACCGACACTGAACATTGAAATTGCTACTCGGGTAACAATGGCCGTTCATTTTTTTTTTAATTTCCCTTCTGCTCGTCGTTTCTTAATTTTTTTCTTCTTTTTTGATTTACGTCTGTACCTACCTATACCTACCAAGTGACTACCTACCTGTATATATTGATATATTATACATCATGTACCGCAGCTTCATTTGTATACACAGGTATATGATATACACCGCTGTTGCTGCCCCGTCCCGAGGAGAGCGGTTCATTGAATGGTAATTCCCGATGCCCCGGTAATTAGTTCGACCACCTCTAGCGTACTTACGACAATTGTTTTCGCCGTAAATGCATTCCACAGCGGGGCCGCCTCGCGAGGCACACGTCGCCGCCGCCGCCGAAGATAAGGTGTCCATTGAAATGCGCTCGCCGGCGGCTCATTTATCTTATACTCGCGGACAATATCGTACTTATAGTATATTATAATATGTACGCTGTAGGAGGGAGGGAGGTGTCATTCGACTGCGAAACGCTGCTATTAGGTGGCACGTTTGTGAGACTAAAAATATAGTATACTATCGTTCGTGAAAATAAAATATATAAGATTACGGCCATAATCTATCATCATTATTATTATTATTATAGATATAGGTACGACCAGCAGCAACGGGTTCACGAAAAGTTGTCCGCTAATACGAGCGAGTGAAATGGCGAATTCATTATTGACTATTGTTACGCATTTGATACTATTACTATTGTTTTAAGATTTCGTCGCACAATGGACTTGTGTGAACCAAACATTGACACTGGACGGACGGTCGTCAAATAATAATTTACCAATTTATTGTGCTTCCAATTTAAGTCGTTGACATTATTGTGGTGGCTCGATAGTAAAATATTATGTATATAATAGTATCTACACTATTTGTTGGTTTTTTTGATATTTACTCATTTCCAACCAAAAGAGAAAGATATGTCTCTTACAACTAGAACCACTACACTATTATAGCATAAAAAATCGTTAACGTTAAGCGTGTAATAACAAACAGTATTTGAATGTATTATATTATACTGTTAGAGTGTGAAAAACACTATTGGTATTTTAACTGAGATTACTCTGAAATATTGTCCATAATTGGTGTGCCAAGTACCTACAAACTATATAATAGGCATAATACTATAATATGTAACTTCCAAATTTTTTGAATATAAAAATAATAATTTATTATAAAACTCCACCCCGCAGCGTACAACTTATACTCTTTTGATCTCCTGATCTCTGGGTGTTTAATAATAATCATCATTTGTTTTTTTTCCGTTTCAGCTATTTGACATGAAAAAATTCCAACAGAACGTCTCTAGAGAATTGCGCAGAGCGTACCCTGACCGCAGGCGTCTGGAATGTCAGTGTTTGAGTGCTATCAGCTTCGTCAAGAACGAACAGGACATGTTGGACAGCCCTATATGGGTGTTGATCATAAACGTCGTAGCCATGGATATGCTCAAGTCAAAATTACCACCAAGTAAGTGGTTTTTCGTCGAACCATGTTTTTTTCCCACTCACGCACCCATCATTGAAGGGCGATTATTATATTATAATCATAGTGTTGTCACTTGTCCTGCATTTTCTACCCACTTTCGTTTTCTAGAGCATAAATTGAATATGTTCACTGTGAGATGAATAGGGCCTAGGGGCGAGGGAGAGATGTACCTATACCATTGTTCGAAGATATTATTTTATTCATTTTTTTTTATTATTATTATATTAACCGTTCTTACTGCAGTAGAGGTATCATTATTGTATATTATCGTCTTTGATATCGACAAGAGATAATTTTATTGAAAGGAGGAGTTGTCGACCAAGTATTATACTACGGATTCTTGAAATAAATATAAATTATAAAACAATCAAATTTCAACACATCGTATTCGATAATAATAATGTATACTCGTAGAATTTTTCTGTTTTCCTTTTTTCACGCGTTGACGTTCGTTTAAGTCTTCGGAAAAGGTCATGACTGCGGTGGTACCGGTGAGACGTGCGATAACTATACAAGTATTCTTGATATATTATTATATTATATCAGTACATAGGAGTTTGCAGATTTATATAGATATTAAGGTCAAAGGCATAAATATGGGAAAATATGACATTAGCCGGGTTACATAACTAAAAATTTCCCTAAAAATTGAGAATTATTGAAATCGTATACAAATATATATTACGTCGTCAATCGTCATTAATATTAAATAGATCTATCAAAGCAATTTAAGAATCAAAAGTTAGTTATTTCGTACGACCAATCACGTAAAATAAGAAGGGGGGATGTATTATGAAATATGCAGCATATCATATTATATTATGGACTTCTCTAAAATGAAAAAACCAGAATTCGAAATGTTATTAGTGCTAGAGAAAAGCTCTATAATAATCCATAAGTACTAAATGCCTTGTAGATGATTATTGAATAATTATTATGACTGACTAGGGGAGCTGAAGTTGAAAACTGTGGAATCCATAATCATAAGACAATAACTGAATAAACAGGTCCTTTTCTCAGAGGCCCCTCCAGTACCACTAATTTTCTCATTGAAATCGTAGTTCATAGTTAACGATGTATTTGACATCCTTAACCACTTATCTTTGGAATAATGTCATTGGCACGACATTTTCAGTACAATATACAAAATTAATTTTTAACAACATTCCCCTTAATTATTAGCTAAGTTGAGATTAGATAATATACCCCGGTTATTTAATGACGTTCTTTTCCAGTTATCGTCTTTTACTGAATCATACATATATACTTGTAATATACTATTATTATAATGTGTCTAATAATTATATGCGCACGTACTCGCCATTGACCTGGCAAAAAAAAAAAAATAAAATAAAAAAGGCCGCGGATACAAATACTGCAATATAGATAACACCTATAGTAGCTCGATGCGTGAAATGAATGTGCGAGCCCGCAGACAGTCAATAATAGTCGCAAACAATGGACACGCGGTCCCGATTTCTTTTGATTGGTCACAGGACCGCGATTTGATTAGTCCAATATTCAGCCCCGGAGGCTCGGGTTCCCACCGCGGTTTGATTCGTTCGGCGGTCCTCCGGTGTATTACCATTATACGAGTATTATAATTTATATTAATGCATATATCTGCAGCGATTCGGGTCGCTGAACTGAAATGATTTTGATTCGAGAAAATCGAACCAAAGTTCATCATCGTTTGTCGCTCGCACATACACACAAACGCGCGTATTATACATTGCAATATTCGATCAATCGCAGCATGACAATTTCACTGGACCCGTCATGATCGTTGCACAATCTAATGCCTAATATAATGATATGATGTATATACAGTATAGATAGGTGTGTGTGTACATACATACGTAAAAGGAACACTCGCAGACCGCTTTTTCGCGATGAAATCTTCACGCGCAGTGATCTTTGCCTGGAACGACAGCGAGTATATAAACACGGGGAGGCAGTTACTTATGATGCTGTTTTCGTTTATATTCAAAATCGTATACTCAATACTCTCTATAATAAGTAATAACATATTATATGTAGCCGCACATAGATACATCCATGGTGGCAGCTCATAGTAGATGTGTGAGATGTTTTGACTTCTTACGTAGTTATATTATATCGGTATTAGGACTCTATCAAATTTGAGAGCTATCACATCACGTAGTTGAAGGGGAGAAATATGGAATACGTGCTCTATAAGGACACGGACTTTTTTTTTGTTTTAGGTTGGGCTTTAAAGGTAAATCAACTCATGTAAATCTTAGCCCCCTTGAAATCGTCCACACATTTTTACCCATTTAGAATAGGGTTATCAAATATACATAATAATATATACCTATAATAATATAATGATATTATTATTACACTATGTCGCTGTGCGTGTGCGGTGCCTATTCATTGTATCGGCGTTGTTATTCAATCCCGCGAAATTCATGACTGCACGCGCCACACGCGGCAATAAATTGTCTCGTATAATAATACTATATTATATACCGTCCGGGGCTTTTATAGATTATCGTAATATTTTCAAATATCTGTACGTAGCCTCGATCGATTAAGTGTACCGTTTATGTTATATACATATATATTTTTCCCTATGTTTCACGAGTTCACGGATCGACGGCAAAACGGTTTTTATTATTTTCGTAATTTTCGTCGAGATCCTTGCCTATATGAATTCGAACAAAAATGTCATCACGATCGACATATCGCTAAACATTATACACTGAACACCGCAGACGCGATTTCTCGAGGTTAGGCAATATTTTGAATACCTATACCTATATACCCATTATTTATTATTACAACGAAAGAAAATAAAACTATAACTTTAAATTTCGTGCACCTAGTTTTGGATCACAATATTACTCTCATAGTCTCATATTTATATTAAGGTCCATTATTATATCGTTTATTCGATAATAAAATAATATAAAGTTCAATCGTTGTGTTATATAACGCATACACTATACACTAGTTTAACGATCGAACGGGAATGTAGTTTTGCGGTCGGTCATCGGCATATTATATATTATTATAGTGTTACGTGCTGCAGCAACAGGTCTCGGGCGGATGACGCGTTTTACTCTTGTCGTACGTTTATAAGTATATATATATTATATATATATGCTAGTTGCGTTAAATTATATCGTACATACGATCGAACTTTTTCGACGCAAAAACATCGATAAACTTTTTGTCAGGTCTTTGGGTTTATTACCTGTTTGAAATATAGTATGCGTATTTAACTCTCGAAGTCAGAATTTCTGTCTCGTTTCTAATATTATAAAATTATAATACGACGATATTATAATTTCGCTCAATCACACACCGAAAAGAGTTTTTGTTTTAGTGATGAAAAACATTTTCACTGATCCGTCGAATTCTCAACGCTCTTCTAAGTATAATATTACATAAATTAGTATGACTATAGATTTGAATACGTTTGCTCGAAAAAGCTAAAATTTATATGTAATTGTCTGCTGGGGAGGCCAAGAAAAATTGTTTTGCACGGGCGAGGGGAGGGATATTTCCACACGACTTTGCACGGTACTATCCGATCGTTTGTGGCAGAGGGGAAAACACATGTCGTCCTACATTCGTATAGATCATGTCCCCGCGCGGCGTGGGTGGTCGACTGAGCTCGCGCGCGTCGTTCGTGTAATATATTATTACGTCGTTGTCGTCGAAGTCGTCGTTGTCGTCGAAGTCGTCGTCGTCGTGTCCGCACTCGCGATATCTCGTCAAGTGCAGTTTTTGCCGTTTTTTTACCCGGCGGCAGTGACCTTTTAATTGGCACATAGTCCGTCCGTCGCGGTGATTAATCCGTTTCGGTGCAGTGTCCCGTTGTCGATGGCGCACTTAGGATAGTATAATATATATATTATATGCATGTATATTAAGCACAACCGTTAACCATTGCAGATGATGAGTATCGCGGTCATGACTTATTTTATTATTATTCTCCTCGGTCGAAAGAGACACGTGGAGACAGAGACGTGGACAAAGAGACAAAGAAAGATGGATAGATAGAGAGAGATAGATAGATATAGAGAGAGGGAGAAAGAGAGAGAGACACACACACATATACACACACATACGCACTCGCAACGAAATGATATTATTATCTATATTTATATATATATATGAGTGTGTATTGTGGTTATCGCGGTGGCAGGAGAGTGGAAAATCGGGTTGCTGACGGGAATGCGGACCCGGGGTTAAAACACTCTTAAAAAGGGATACGCGTTGGTTTGTTATGTGCATATATCTATTGTAACTCGGTGCCGATTTCCATCGGTTTATGGTTCAAAACGGTCGCGTCTAACCGGACACCGCGTAATAATAATAATACGTACTCAGGCTGCGTCAGTGTCTGCGATATATATTATTATATTATAGAGTAAATCAATCGTACCACGTTCGTACGGAATAAAACAATATGATATAACATAATCGTGTTTCGTATTCGAATCGTTACGAGCTTAATACTCACACGCTCGGAGATCTTAAATATTATAATGTATATAGGTATACGGAGGACCCTGATGCTGGATATAGACTTAGTTTTCCCCAACGAATGGTTCTTTTTATATATCGTAGTGGTAGTATAGAGGACTGGATGAACGCTAGAACGAGGGTGGACGCGTTCTACATAATATAACTTCAGCAATCTACAGATTACGTCTTTACCTCTTGAAATCATTGGATGTTCAAATTATTGTTAGTGATTTATCACTTTGAGACATCCCTTCCCATATTTTTGAGTTGCCCCTAATAGTACCCACTGATCCGTGAGTTTTATTATTATGGGCTCTTTTTATGGTACCTATACCTGTAATAATATCATCTAGGTATATTACACATAACTGCCTTATTTTAATGTCGTCCGACTGTCTTTAATCGTCGTCGTCGTGCGCATTGTTGTTTACGCAGTGAAACGCACCACGGTGGACATCAAGAATCGGCCCAGGATCCCGATTCCGGACGAGGACCCGTACAGCATAGCTGGAGCAAACATGGTAGCCGCCACTCGGGAACAGCTGATGATGCAGACTGCGGCGCGCCGGGGTGACAAGCCACCCAAGCTGCCACCCAGGGACCCGTCGAACCCATACCCGCACGAAATACCCAAGGTAAAATTAATAACAAATACCAAATATAATATTATAATAACTGCAATTGAATAAAGGAGTTAAGTGATGATTTTCAAAATTTTAAATTAATATAATATCCATACTAAAACGCTTTTATCCGTGTTACTCTGTGCAGTAATATTGTATCAATATTTTTTTGTTAGATTTTCAACAATATTTTAGATATGTGTGTATTTTTGATATCAAGTTTATATTATTATAATATGTAATCGTAGTGTGTGAGCTAGTGGTTAGGTGATGGGGAGAGCAGTCTGATGATATTTCAGAGAAGAAAAATCTGGTCAGGTCTGAGGAACTCTCTGAATTTTACATGCTATAGTACCTATGTATAATAGAGTGTGTAAAATAATAAAGGATATATATCCTAGACCCCCTCCAAAGTTAAAAGTACATAAATCTTACATATATACGATATACGTTTAGACCGTAGTTAGGGGTCCTTGCCAATTTATCCCCCTCCTCTCTCCCAACACACAAATTAACAGCATAATATTATGAGATTATAAGTTAATAATAATAATATTTTTGAGAATAACCAACACGTTTAGTATACTTTATATAATTTATCGACTAAGAACCGGAGAAGTAATTTTAACTCAAAGATAATTGGGGGTGCTATACATATTACATACCCAGGTGCATAGATACCCCTGTCTCATACTCCTACTCGCTACAAGCACCGCTTATCTCTGGTAAAGATTTCACACCATGATCGTTTTGCAGATATTCAAAGTCCGAATTTGTTATAATAATATTATATATGAACCATCTTCGATTAGTAATAGCTGGTAATAGGTATACTATATTATCTGTATCATCGGTTTTTAAGACATAACTAATGTGAGATTTGAATGCGTCACGTTGAGGCGAGCGACTTAAAGTTAATAGTATGCACTGTACAATATAAAAGTGAGATTATATATAATATATGAGGTAAGACGATACATCATAATATGATATAACATCAACGCGTTTTATGATGTAAAACACGGTCTTACACGGTCTTTTCGTTTTCCGAGTATATAATATATAGGTACTCGGAAAACGAATTATCTATCGCTAAATGTAGGTATATAATGCGTTCTGACAGTTTTATGTCTCGCCAGATTTCGCGTGCACATATAAATTTGTCGGAAGTGTTTCTCTTAAAGTCTACATATACATTTTTTCTTCTGGTAATTGCAGCCCGACTACGACGACATCGAAGAAGAAGAAAACAGATTGGTCGGCTCCATGAAGCAGTTCACCTCGTCGAGGGGAAAAGACAAAGTCAAGGACAACAATAAAAAATACGGTAAATACATACATACATACGTACGCTCATTTCGTCATACGTATTATCTAATACGACGATGTCCCTTCTTGCGCCAAGCCGCCAATATAATATAATATTATAATCTGCCATTAAAAAAATACATATACTAGCGGTGTGATGCTCGGTAGACCGATTTTCCTGCTCATAACGGCCGGTATGCGATCGGCACAGCTATAGCGCACAAGTATGATATTATTATTATATTATATAGGTACACATAAGAATAATCGCAATTCCGTGTCCCGGAGCCGATTTCGCAACAGTGTAATCTTTAGAGGAAAGAGGCATGTGCTGTGCACACTGTACATTTATGCATAATTTTACCTTTGTTAAATTATATTGTATTAGAAAATTTAATAGACGGCTGCCGATCGTTAAAATAATATTCTCTTATTTTATTTTATTAACAAAAAGATTTAACATTTTGGTAATTTGCTTACAATTATTAACTTAATACTACATAATATAGTTTAATATTATGGTAGCATTACAACGTGTACCTGTAACAGGTACAATTCTTTTTTCATTCAGTCGATTACATTTATCTTAAAATTATGTCTTGGGATATTTACCGACGGTTTTGTAAAGATTAATTTTGTTATCAGTGTTTCAATAATATAACATGACGTGACCTAAATGCTACTAAGACGGTTTCCACGTAAATAATGGGAAACATAAATAACGCAAACAAATCTCGTGCTCCGAATAAAAAAATTATCATGTACGATATAATAGCAGTGAAAATCAGTCGTGAACATTTCCCGTCCCGCGAGGCCATTGATATTATTATATTTATAATTATGTTATACTATTACGGCTATAAATGTAATATGTATAATAATTTATACATGTATTATAAAACATTTTTTTAATGTTTCTCGGAGGATTCACGTGGCACCGTTTTCTGGATGATTTCAAAAGACAAAACCTATATATCATTATTATTACCCATCATAATGCGTCTGCGCAATAATAATTATAATTTCTTTGCATCCGGCAATGGCCTTGCCTGGTTTTCGTATTCTTTTTATTCCGTTTCTTCGGGATTACCTAATTCAACATAAAAAAGCAACGAGGTATTTAGTATACGCGTATACGTCTTGTCATCATGGTGGGCATCGTCATTATATTATTATAATTTAAAATAATATAGGACATAGGTAGGTAAATATCTTATATGCGATTCAGCAGCTGTCGCATATCCGTCTGCCACGCCAGACGCTCGGCCTCTCCTCTCGCAGACGATCTATGTACAGAGTGATCCACCGAGAATGCTTAGTCCCAATTTTGTCGTTTATTTAAATTTTGATTTTTACTCTATTTATATGTATATTCAAAGACTAAACTTTGAACAAACTTCTTCTTTTCACCAACATTTTGAACCCTAAAGATTCCAAAAACCAGAATTTAAACAAATTAATATGTACCTATAATCAAATGATAAATAGGGGTGCGAGTATGCATGGTCAATCACATATTGTATGATTTATAATTAACAATATACGAAAAGTCGATATTTATGGTACATATAATAACTACCGTGGATCCCCGATATGATTTACACTTAAACGACATGTGTTAGTTAGTATTTATATATACAGTGAAATTGCTGTATAATCGGTAGTACTTATACAGATGGAGATGGGGCGAGACTTATTGTATCGTTAGTGTTAATACGATATTGAAATTTATTTTGAATACTATGCTGACTGCTATTTCCCTCATCAAAATGTACCAACTATACCTAACCTGGAGAGACTTGAATGGAAACCGATTTGAATTCGTCACGATTCGCGAAGTTTATACCGCGAGATCGACTTTTCCTTTTTTCCGACGTCCGTGGTTCACCTCTATAATTTTTTTTTTTAATTCAAAATTTAAATGACGAGTCTGGAATTGCAATTATAAACCCCGTATTTTAACCAGATTTCCATAAAGACATGATTAAAGTTTAATATAATATGTAAATACAAAAATACAAACTTCTCCATTGTAATTAGGTACGAATAAAATAAAATTTAATATCTATATAATTGTATGCCTCAAGTCAAACTTTACACTCAAATCTAAGAATTCAAAACGTCTCGGAAACAGCAAAATCTGCAACCTACAAACTTTTTAACAATTACATTAAAATTCACACGAATCGCCCTTATTTCCCACACTATATTATTATTAAGCCTGTAAATTTTTCTAGAATAAGGCTAGACAAAAATCGGCGTAAGAGAGACTTGGTGCAAACTAATTATGTCAACTCGAAATAAAATTCAAGATACAAGTGTTACAGCTTTGTTATTTCTTAACTAGTCATTCGTGTTATGTAGAGTATTTTAGTAGCCGCACAATTAGTGCTTACTGGAAATAATTTTACAGATTGTATAATTTCAAATAAAATATGTTTAATAAATGGATAATGCCTAATATATTATATTATGCGCATATATACGAAACGGGCAATCGGTACTCGCGTAATCCATTCGGATTACCGGTTACACGTTGTTATTATTATATAGCTATTCTAGATGTTTGTGAAAAATAAAACTGTGCAGCAGCTAGGTGAAAGGCCGAGTCGGTGTGCGCAGAACCGGCTGACGTATATGCACTTTCACTAAACGAAACGGCATATGCGTACCTTGACATTTAGTATCAATTTATTATTATTATATTTTAAGCACTCCGCGCCCGTTGTAATTATAATTTATAAATGTTAGCTCGAAACTCGACATGAGACGATAAGAGTATAAGACAGACGATCGTGCAGGTTAGGCTAATGTCTGATAGTTATAGATGGTGTACAATATTTTGTCACCATATTACAATCACAGGTTTCTATGTAAGCATCGACTTGAGGACAAATAAACGATATACCTACCTAAAAAAAAAAACACTTATACTCAGTAAAAAACCAATGTCTATGATAGTTTGATTGCATCTGATCCCGTGACGGATTGCCAAAACGGTTGAACTGTATTCGAAATTTAGGGGTCCGATATATCATGTACCTAACGTTATTAAGTCGACAATAATCTGCAGCTGCGCGTTTTCAATCGAAAAATAACAAGCCAATCAAATACCTACTTGACCAGGCGAATTTCGTGACACTGTACGTAATTTTCGTTTATAAAAACAAATTTTTGGTTTTCAGACGACCCGTACTATTGCGGACTGAGAGCCAGAGTGCCAAATTTCGTCAAGACTTCCAACGGAAAGACCAAGGAGTTCATCAAAGATGTGCCCGTCGGCCCAAAGATGAGCACCGCCGTGCCGCCATCCCGCTACCAACAGAATCCGATGGCCCTGTCCAACGGTCACCTGGCCACCGCCGCCGCCGTACACTATCATCATCACACGCAGCCCGCCATGTGGCACACGCGCAGCTTCGACAGCGGAATGGGTAAGCACTCGTTTTACATTACATTTCGTTATTAATATTTATTATTTCGTCAATTGGATAACCGCCTCGGATATGGATATAAATCGAATATAATCGATTAGTATGTGCACGTCGGTCAAGAGTTCCCCCCTCGATAGCGTTAATTAATCGACTATCATAGGAACCTAACGATTATACATCGTCACGGCGAAATTTTCGATTTTATGCGGTCGATGATAACGGGTCCGAATTTTATCCATTTCCCGTTTCATTCGGTTCTATATTATTATAATATGATATGCATCCGCTGCGGGCTTATGCCGTCGATTTCAAAATCATATTTTCAACTAACTAGACAGATATATTATAATAGAATAATAAAACACATGACGAAAGATGTCCATATTATAATCGTCGTTGCAGTAATTATTATTATAAATGAGTTCGTTTGCTGCACTATAATAATATTATAAGAACAAATATTGTTTGGGACTAGGAGGAAAGTGACTTCTCTACCCTTTTAATCTAGATCCACCCGTGTCCTATAGTTAGTGTAATTGTAGTGTATGGTGGTTTCAACGTTTCTGTTAAATATAATTAGTTGTGGGTAACGAAACAGTGGTCAGTGGAACGGAAATAAAAACACTATAGGTTTTCAATCAGGTACTTATTATAGATTTGGGCATCAATTTAATATTTGCGTGTACAATAAGTAGCTACATATAATTGTTATTTGATTGGAAAAAATTAATAAAAGACTTATATTATCAATACACTTGGATAAGATTCGTTAAAATAATTATTTAATATTATTCATTTTTTAAAAATATGCATTAAAATTATACGTAATTTATTACCTATTCAGAATAATATGAAACAAGTTGTACGTTTCATGTTTTTCCGAATAACTATATAATTATTGTATCCATATTTTACGGTCAGATAAAATTACTTTCGAAATGTTCAACAAAGTTTACTGTCACGTATGCGCTTCAATTACACCATAGTATAGACGCCTCGTCTTGTAAGATTATATTTAAAACAGCTTACTGTCCTAATGACTCTTTTCATTCGATTTCGTTATAAGAAAAAAATTCCAATCAACACGATTTCATGTTTTGAAGGTAATAACTAATAACTAATTATACGTTTTTAGCATAATATGAAATATACATTTTACCGTCAATATTTTATTTACCGTATTTAATCCTACTTCCGTTTGTCGGTTGAAAGTGTTCTATTAAAAAAAAATGTTTCATTCTAAAACAGCTAACGTCTATACTTTATTATATAACTGATACCTACATTGTAAATTGTACAATATTACCTAATAGAGTGTGTTGTAAACTTCGTGTTAAAAGGATTACCTATAGTATATTATATTATATACAGGATTTGGTATTCACAAAGCTTTCTCAACTCAATTTACCATATTTTATTATAATGATTTTATTCAGTTTCTAACAATTATAAAAATTATATTCGTTTGAATTTCAATTTATATGCTCAAACATTTTTAAAACAATAAACAATAATATTTTCAAAATCTATTTGACAATTTACAGTCAAAATACGTGTGTTCATATTTTAAATAAAAAAAAATGTTAATTTTATCGCCCCAGCTAGGACACTCCTTAAATAAAAAAGTAAAATATAATGGCACCTATATTATTTAAGTATTCTAAAAAATGTCAAAAGACAGAGTTATATATTGTATACATTATGCATTAGGTATTTAAATTTCAAGGTCTAGCATGGTCGGTGAATCATACCGTATAGTATACTTTGATTTTAATAGTAAAACGGTCGCGTCTCGAATTGAAACCACGTGCGAATCCGTATTATATGTGGGTCATAAAAGCATTTACGCAGCTTCTGGTACACATATTAATATACAATAATATACAGGTATAATGTGGTGTACGTATTACAAAAATTAAACTACACGTTGGTTGTTTTTGCGGATTTTTCTTCACGGCTGTCGGCACGAATCCGGACCCCGTTATTCAAATTTAATTGCTCCGGAAACGCCTATTATTATTGGGTACAATCGATTATCGAGCTCGACCGTCGTCAAGTCCACCACGATGAAAACCGTGACTTGCGAATCGTTGCAAATGCGTACGACGTTCCCCGGTATTGCAAACGATATAGATCAAATCGAATTTCAAATGTATGAACCGTATAGGTTCCTCGTTCCTATGACCAATGTGTAGATAATGTAAAGTATAATAAACGATGGCACTATCCGAAGGTTTCATAACGGTTAGGTAAAGATCGACATTGTTCTTACCTTATCCGGAGTGACCATGCCAGAGCGATATCTGTAACTGCAGAGCAGGAAGGGACGAATTCGAGGCTGTTCACCTGGAGAAATATACATTTTAATAATAATAAATAACAATATGACCGCCCTAGAATTGTAATATCAACGGATTTCCACCGGTGCATTGGACTTATCAGTGTAGGTAGACTACGCCATTACATATTATATTGTTTATTACGTATAATATTATGTTATTTGCGACTGCAACGGAAGACTCTATAACGGCTCGGCGACAATATATACGACCCCGCGTGTTGCACAATTTTATTATTTATGACTATCATATTATTTTTTAAATTATTATGTTATTTTCTCATAACCGGTTTCGCATAATCGTGTCCAAATAAGACGACGTCGACGCCTAAACGGTATTCGCAAAATGTCCAATTAGCAATAATTAGTCCACTGACTTCTCCCGATCACGGTGTATTACGGTGACACCAATGCGTAACGAACATAATTATTATAATAATATAAGAATACAGTATTATGACAATACTGCAGCTATTCAGTTTGTAGGATAAACAAATCTATATAATAATTTAATATTTTGTATTATCCATACCGAACCCTGGTAAAAAAAATAATAAGTAAGATTAAAAATAGTTTTAATATTTGATTACCATAATATCACGTTATTAATTTAAAATATATAGTGAAATGTTTGCCCACGAATACACGATCGTTCCGTTTAATAAATAAATATTATATTGGGAAATTAGGTAGGTATATATATGTATTGGTGATCTTGGACCAGACTACGTCCTTTAGATGCGATTAAAATTTTAAGTTGAAATATCTTTAAAACAAATAATATTCAAATACATTTTTTTTAAATAATCCTCTACAACGTCGCTTCCCCATCCCGATTCGAATAGATTTTGTCGTTGGATTATCTAGAGACTCGCGAGTTGTGTCATATTATAATGCATACCTTTAGGATATTTTTAAATAAGATAATATGCAGCAAGAGACTTAACGGTGTATTGTATCATATGAGTTACTTATAGGTTAAACATAATATTATAATATGGTATTAATGATGTTGTACTAAATGTTTTTTTTTACTGTTTATGTTTTGCAGACGCCGAAGTATTCGACTCACCATACAACCACATATACGGACGGCTGCCCATACCCACCAGAGGTTACATACCGACGGGACACAGGACTCCGATGTACGTCGGCGAATGGGACTAAAGATTCGAACAGGGTGGAGTGACCGAAGTCGGGTCGCGCTTCTCATCGACAACGATTTAATTGATTCACTTTTAAAAGACAAGAAAATTAAAAAAAAAAAAATAATAATATCATAGTAGATCCCTTTTCGTTTTGTTCTCTCGACTGATGGATTTATATATATATACTTATATATATATATACTTATATATATATACTTATATATATATAAGTAAATTGCGTACATTTGTATTATATAATATTATAACATAATATGTATTGGAAAACGATTTCTCGAGCTTTTTTTTTTTAACTCTCTTTTTATTATATTATATAGAATATTTAGTAGGTAGGTATATGTATTTTTTGTGATTTTTTTTTTTTGGTTTTCGATTTTATTTGATTAGTCCACCACCGGTACGAAACACGAAGACCTCCGTGATATCGCAGTGTGTACACACATTTTACCATAATAACATTATAATGATGTGAATATTAAGCATATTATACGTTTTATAATAGTATAAAATAACTCGAGCGGGATATTTTCTTACGGATACAAATTAGCAGCAGCAGTAACATACTACAGTAATTATTAAAAATAAATAAATTATGTCTCTAAAATCGCAGTCAAAGCGTAAGTCGATATCAACGTATTGGAAAAAATTCGAAATCGTGCAACCCACGGTGATCCCACGGTCGTCGAACATACACACAAATTGCAAGTATTGTATTGTTGTTATAATTCTCTCACATAGGTACACCGTAGTCATATTGCTAAAAAAAACCCCGTCATCTTGGTGATAATATTATTATTTCGTCGAAAGCGAAAAACAGAAAAGCGAAATTCAGTCGTAGGTACCAGCCAGCATCCGACGACGACGTCTCGGCGTCGACAATGTGTATAGAAAGGTGGTGAGTTAGGAATTATTTTTTTTTCTTAAAGTGTGAAAATAAATAGATCAAATAGAGAACAGAAAAAATGCGAAAAAATAAAATACGAACCGGTGTGGGGAAGTCGTAAAATCGATCAAATTCTTCGTATAATATATTATAAATTATAATATTTTGTAGAAAGAAATAAAAAAATTTAATTCGTAACAAAGAGATTAAGTTTAATTTTTATGAAAACAAATAAATCGTATTGTATAAAAGTAATTTATATATTATCTTTGTTGTTTATTATTATTATATTTTTTTTATATATATACATTTTCTTTTAAGCTCGCGCTATTGGTATATATAATATTATAATATAATATATATAGGTACGTTACGATTAGACTTTTTAGGTTTAACGCATAATATTATTATTCTAGTATTATCGACATTATTATAATGATATATCATATATACACTGTACGCCTATTTTATATGCCCTTTTTTCTCTCTCAATTTTTTATTATATAATTAATTATTATTGCGAACAATTACGAGTGTTCGGCGCGTGCGACAGATGCAGTGCATTTTATATCATAATAATAATAGTTATTACAATGATATATTATGATCATGATAAACGCGTAATATTATAATTTGTCAAACAAGGTTCGCACGCGTCGATTGCGTTGTTCACACTTGTTGTCGTATATATATATATATTATATAAATATATACAATCAACGATTATGTGATCAATATTATAATATTATACGCATACATACCAGTTAATTATAATATTATTATTTTTATTTTTTAGTTTGTTTAAGTATATTTTAAGTATATTATAATGGTAATCCGAATTTTTATTTCATGACAATATATAATTATTATTATGTTTTTCGCCTATATTATATATACTTCACATATATTATAATATAAGCTGTCTTGTATTTCTACATAATTATATATGTGTGTTTTAACGATATATTAATGATAACAATATACAATAATATGAAAAAATTGAAATGTTTTTATTATTATGGTATACCTATATGAATGGTGTTTCTAAGTTTGGTTTTGAAATTCCATGGTGTGTGGGCTAAGCAGCACGTTCCCAGTATCCTCACAATAAAATTTGATATCTCGAAAAGGACTGTATACCAGTGCAAACCTTGACAAACGAATTTAGCTAGTTTTGTACAAGAATTCTAACGGTGGGAGGGAACTATATATTTCTTCTCCTTCCCTGCTTTTACAGTCCGTGTAGGACCTTCGCTGTCTCGACTACTCTTATCACTCCGATCACTATTTCACTGTCTTCTATTCTTGTTCCTATAGTGGAACTCCAGTGAGATCTGTCTTCACTCTTCCTGCCCGTCCTCGTCCCGGTCGACCCCTAGGCTTTTTCCCATTCAATCTCCCATTAAAACTGTTGTTGCTGTACATAGGTATGGAGCTGTATGCTTTATAAATTACCTATAATATATTATAACGGCTCTGTATTAATTCTCGCAGTGCTGTATGAAAGTGTAGAAATATATATATATATATATATATATATATACACTCTATAGATATCAAACACGAGAGATCTGTGAAATCTCTTGACGGCCCCACGATACGGAACCACCCCCTTGAGAATCCTTCCCCGATCGAGCAGCAACGCGGGCGTGGCGTGAGTATTCCTATTTCGTGCCACGTATATCATATAAAATCGTTAAGTTAGTTAATCGTTATTAGGTATAATTGCAGTTGTGTGAGACGACAGACGAGTCTAGTTTCCGAAAAGAGTATAATATAATGTGAGCACCGGTCGGGGCCGACTACGAAGCCTAACTAAGGACGGCATGAACAATAATGACAGTAATATAACAATAATATTATGACGGATGATGGTATATATCGTATATAATATGTATATCGTGTACTCGACGGATATGCTCGTCCGCAAGAAAAAAAAAACCAAATGGTAGTTTTCCGTCGTTCTGCAAGACCCTATCGCCGTCATATGTGGTTATAATAATATGTGTTGGTGAAAAAAAAAAATCTTCTCGCAAGTAAACAGATAGTCTGTTGTACGTGCAGCAGAGTTGAATTTATTATCCACACGAATTCCTCGTCGTGCGACGTCGTACGCGCGCGTAATAATAATAGTAATAATATAATGCGCGATACGCCCTAACCGACTCAAAAAATAATCCGTCGGAGGACCTTGAGTCTGGACGATTACAGATTATCGTCATCGTTATCGATCGCGGTCGGAGAATAATATATTATTTCATCGACCGCACGTGTTGAACATGATAATATTATTGTGAAGATCGCCACATATATATGTATATATATATTAATAATATATTATATATAATATATTGTATAATAATTATTAAAATAATATTATAATAATATGCTACCTATATATGTATAATAGCCGTCTGTCGCCGAGTTAAAGTCGAGCACGCGTTCAACAGGTAAAACACGTTATAATGAAAAAAAAACCATCGACATGATTATTATAGATTTTCGCGAGCGTAGGTATATGTATATTATATCCTCCGACCCCCAACTATATAATATATCATGTTTTTTTAGTTTTTAATATATTATGCGCACGTACAATATAATTTATTATAATGTTATCCCGTGACAATAATTACCGGCGGCCCGGAACTGTTTTATCACAATGACAATAATAATACATCCCTATAATTATATGTAAATATTGGTCGACCGTCGTGGAGGTGTATAATAAAACATACGGTCGAGTGGCGTGGTAGATCTGATCGTCATATTTTGTCCACCAGAACTGCCGTGAAGAAAAAAATGTGTTTGTAGGAGTTGAAAAAAAAAGAACGACCTTAAACTGGCGGGTTTTCCCTCGAATGAGCATCTCGAATTTTGCGGATATAGGTACATAATTTGTATTTTACATTTTTCACGACCCAAGACGATCTGTTGCCATAGCATGCGCGTGGGAGTAGATTGGCTATAAAATACTAGTGGGTCTATAATATTCACAGAATAATTTATTAAAAAAAAAATTATCGCTATCGAGCGAACAACTGATACATAGTAATACACTTGTCTTAACACTTAACAGTGATCGATTATATTATATACTAAAGAAAAGGTTTAAGATCAAGTCGTTATAATTAAAACACTGGAAAAAACAAATCATTTTAAATAAGTGTTTTAAAACAAATAGTGCCTTTTAGAATTTAAAGAGATAACTTACTCGTCTATTGAAATAAGGAGGCGCCCATTGTAATACGTCCCCATAAAAAACTTCGCCCAAGCGACGCAGTCTATATCGACGGACGACAGTTGTAAAAGTATGATATAGGTACGTACCTAATATAGCTGCATAAGTATAGAGCATAGGCTACGTTCGGAACTTATTGAATCAAAATAGTTTTTGAAATAATATATAATAATATAATATTATTATTATTATTATTATTTATTTTATTGGTAAATGTAATAACTCCCTACCTCCAACACAAGCTATTAGCTTACAACATGTAGGTAATCAAAACTGTAACTATTTGTTAAATTTGTTTAATTTGTAACCATTTATTTTGATTTCTAATAAAAAAAAATAAAAATAATATGTAAAATTACAGAAAAATTGCCTATAATTTAGGGGGGGGGTGGATATATTGAGAAAACGAACCACGGTTAACTTATATGAATATTATATTATGATATTAATAACAATGTTAAAAATTTATACATTTGAAGATGATGTCATTTTCATAAATTACAAAATGAAATGTGCAGAAATATGGAAAGTCAAACTTTATAATTAATTTAACCATTTCACAATAAAAAATAACATCTTACTTAGAAAATTCTAAAACCATACAAATTCAACTTTTATAACCATAATTAATGAAATAAAATAATAAAATATAGGTAATTATTATAATTGTATAAAACATGGTCGTCAGTGGATTAATGGTAGCAATGGTAAGCTCTTCACAGACCACCCTCGGCCGATAAATATTCTAAGAATAATGTCTTCAGTCATAGGCTTGTGCACAGAGGCAACAGGGTGTGCTCTTGCTGTCGCTGTACTGTTTGACAAATATATATTTTGTAAGGGCACTGTCCGAGATGGGCCACCGTGTATAATAGTC